ATGATATAAAATCAAACGCTTGAGTGCCACTATGTGTTATTACTTGGTAGTTAGTAAATAAATTATTTAATATGTTATGTAATAACTCTATGTAGTTGAGTACTTGGTTTGTAGGGCATCTTTAATCGTAGGCCTCGATACATAATAACGACCTTGCTTCATAATAATAACTGATCTAGGTGAGCTAAATGTTTTTGCCTCTATAACACTTAACTTGGGCCATATAGGTGTAGCTTGCTGGGGTTTCGGGTCAAGCGCTGTAATGTAGTTTAAAGTAAAATCGGAAGAGATATAACAGGAAAATACAAATGAATTTACCTCATCACAAAACTCTGGACATGGTATGAATTGTAGAATTTTAAAATAAAGTAAACAATTTTTTTTATACGGTTTTTATCATTCTTATTTTTTCTTTGAAGAGGGAAGTCATCTCATTTCTTGTCGGAGCAAGAGGGAGTGCCGTAAACCTCTTATATAAAGGGGGGCCATCGAAATAGTCCATCCGTAGACGGACACGGTGTTTTGAAGATGTGGAAAACTTTTAGGTCAACTACCTGCATTACAATGAAACTAGAGAAGTAATCTCGACAAACGTAGCAGCTAGCTACGTTATAAGTGCAAATGTAAGCCTGTTGGAATCTCAAAAGAAAAAATCTAACCCAAAATCGCTTCCTCTGCACTCACCCTTTGATGACTTCACCACCGAAGTCATTGACATTACATTATATACGAATACATATGAAGACACGTTATAAATATTGTTTATATACTTAGCTATATATAAAAGCAACGGACGCAGTTGACGGTTGCATGACTTGCCAGTCAGCTGGGCTGCTACGATTATTGCCTAATGTCCACATAAGTGGCTAGCTACTGACTACTGGCTACATAACACAGGTACTATAAGTTTCTTTACATTTTCCGCGTAACCCGTCACACTCACATTGGGTGGGGCAATGTGGAACGCGAGATGTGGTATAAGTTTTCTCATGTATAACATACCTAAGTTATTTTTATACATGGCCCATGTTTTGAGTAATAACTCTTCTTTAAAATGGTTACCTACGCATATCATTTTCATCTCTTGTGTTACAGATAGCGCTCATCGGCTCATCACTTACCTATACCTACTTCTTTTGTGAGGAGAAAATCTTCAAATGATTTCTTCCGCCTAGGATGGGGCGTGAGGGTATGTCCAACTGTTACTGACTAAAAATCCTATCGTTTCTTCTCCTGCTCTAGGCCAAGGCCGCGGTGCCTTATTGCGCTTACCCCGCTACCCCAGAAAAACTCGCTTTACGTCGAACCAAGCTAAAATACAATATGTTGCAAACCTCTTAAATTGCAGAATTTTATCTCTCTTTGAAGGGGTTATGAATAAAGTGGTATCCCTGACCCGAAGCAGACGGAACGGGGTGATTTTCAGTCAGTAAGACTTTGATACTGACTCTTGCCCTACTCAGGGTGGGTGAAGCTATTGAATGATTTCTCCCTTAAATAGGGAACTCCATAATAATCCCAACGATTTGCAGCAGCTTTAGGGACTACAAGCGATGGAAAATGTATCAGTTACCCTCTGATTACTCGAACTTTAAGTTTGGAAAAGGTGAAGTCTAGGTAATTTGTTTCACAACAAAAGAAGACACAGTTTGCTACTAAAATAATATATTTAAGAGAAAAAGTTTGTGATTGTGTTACATATTAATATTATATTATAGTTGTAATATGGTAGATAGGTACTTTATACGTAGTTGCAAAGTTGAAAGTTTGATAGAAAAAAGAAATGTTTTTCTAATTTAAAATTGACGAGAAATGAGATTGCGAGTTACATCATATTTTTAGGTAAATTATATTTTTAACTATAGAAAACTCGAAACAAGGTGAAAATTAAATTTAATTTAAAAAATATTGTCTTCGCTTAGTGAAAAAAACAATGATATTTATTTAATCAACCTTAGAACACTAAAAAGCTATATAGTATCTTAACTAAAGCTTTATTTTGTGAAAGAAAACACAACACACAGTTCCATTAATGTACTTGTTTCAAACACATAATTATTAATATGTATAAAATAATAAAGTTAATTGAGGTACTACAAGCTGTACTTTAGGAATAATGTAATAGTCCAATATATAAAAATGATTAATTATAATTGTCTGTTTATTTTCAGAGTGGAACTGTTTAGGGTGGCAAATACGAAACTGTTTAGGGCAAAAGTGACCTACAGGATCCCAGTGACCTATAGGACCCTAGACACATGCAGGGCCCTAGAGTCCTGTAGGGCCCCTAAAGTATGCAACAGAAGTTATTGATACTACTTTACTTTAAGGTACTTCCTATTTATTGTTTGCAGAAAAATAATCAATAATGCGTTTAAAATGGAGAAATAATTTTTATTTATGATATATAAATTTTTTATTTTACTTTTGACTCTAATTTGAGTAAAACACTCGTAAATTCGATTCAAATTTGGCGAAACATCAAAACTTTTAAACATTATCATTTTATTAAGTATGAGATTACTGAACTGTGACATGGCAAATTATTAGCATCAACTAAGCTATTAAATTCTTATACATTGGTTATAATAATACGAATACTTAGTTTAAATTACATCAATGAATGATATTATCTTTATTTTTAGACACAAGAATATATTTATATTGAATATCCCATTAGATGTGCTAAATTCTATAGACCAGTGCCAAAAGTTGAAACCTAGGTATTAAGAGACAACAATAAGAGGTCGGAAATCCGGTAGTTTCCAAATAGACAAATTCAATACTCTTTTTTTTGAAAAGTCAAAAACGATCTACCAATAATACGATAAACTAATCAATGAATTTTGTATGAACTACGACTTATGGCGTCATAATGTTTTGGAGTCAAAAATCATATTTATTTTGGAAAATTTTAAAATTAATATCTGTATGAAAAATGCCAAAAATATAGAATATTTAATTTAATATAGCTAAATCTATCAAGGAAATAATTATTATATATGAAACTACCCAATTGGTTAAGTGTGAACCCATACAAAAACTACAACAACTTTATTATGACAAAAATTATTAGCACTGGTCTTCATACATTCTTACTTATAAGTATTCTTATAATGGTTCGAAACTACTAAGCTTAGGTACATCATTATGATTATACAAAAATAAATATCAGTCATCAAATGAACCAACAGGAAAGATGTCAGGGACAAAGGGGGCGTCCAAAAATTAGGTGAGATGATTAAGGGAGGGGCGGGGGTAGGTTCTGTCGTATCGTATCTAACTTCACGTTGGTGTGAGGTCTCGACAAAATATCACATATTTTTTTAAAGAAACCAAAACAAACATAATAGTTACAAAAAAAAAAAAGTTTTTGATTAATAATTTTTTATTACATTTATAACTAGCCGTACACAAAGCAAATTATTTTCTCTTTTTACAGCAACTATCTTATCACTTTAGTGTATAAAAACACATTCTGATAAATCTCACGTGTGATTGGGGGATAAGGGAGGGGTTGCAATATCTCTCGGTATCTCACCAAGGTGGGAGGGAGAAAGTAGGGAGTTGTAGGCCGGAAAATTGAAAAAACACCTCACCTAATTAATGGATGCCCCCTACAGAAACAGCTACATAAGCCCGTAAATAGTTAATAAAAAAAATTAAGACGTTTTTTGTCGATAATTAATAATTAATTTCTAATATTCTACTGAGACAATTCGATTTAAAATTATTCGGCTCGAATTATCAGTTCTAAAACGGCAAATTTCAGTAACCTATCTATTGATACATTTAATTATTTTGATTAAAGATTTTTTTAATGTTCAATCGTTAAATGAATGAATAAAAAAGGTTTTTTATTTTATATTTAGATGTACTATCTATACATTGTTGTATACTTACCCAGTTATAATGTTATCACACTAGGAATACAGCTGACATAATTATCAGTCTAATAACTATGAAAATTATATTCAAATAAAACCTTTGTTAAAGAAAGATATAATGAGATCAGGATACCTTGATGTGCAAGCGATCTGATCCTTATAGCTATCCATTCCTTAGCTGTTATCATCACATTTAGTACAGTCTTTCATACATTCCAAATAACAATTTCGAATTCCGTATAATTATTATCAAATATTTAAATATAAAATCCCTTCACCAGAGAAAAATCTGCCAAAATTTTACGAAAAAATATATCGATAAAAGATCTACCACGTAATCAAATCAGCCTATTCGTTTATAAACTTTTCCACTAACCCATTAGCAGATAAACAGGATACCTTAATATGCAAGCACATCATATAACTTAACCTACAAAAACTTACAACTAATAAACCTACTAGAAAAGACATCTTTCCTACCGTCGGCTCACTCAAAAGTCTCTCTAATTTAAGTAGGTATCAAAAAGAAACAAGGCGGCTACAGTTTTTTTTTTTTTGTCAACAGATGGCGCTAGTCTAGCAAAGAGATCAGTTTGTCAGACAATATCTAATTTTAAATTGGGCCAAAAAGAACAGGTCAGCACTAGCGCCACCTAGAGACTAAAAAAAATTGCGCCCGTGGAGTCTGATAGTCAGATAATTAAAAAGTATCAGACACGTATTTTTTCCAGATGAAATGAACTGGTGACTGAGGTAGAATAAAATTAAAAGTAAGTAGTAAGAACCGCCTTAATAGCATTTTGAATCAATGCATCGTCGTTAGATTTTATTCCAGAAAGGAGGCAAAAATACATGTCTGATTAGTTTTTTTAATATTTTATTAGCGGTCAGTTTCAATAACTAATATTATATCTGTAGATTGGCTTAAAACAGATATTCCGCAACCCTCAAAAGTCGACTATGCGCTTGTAATTTCTCTAGAGATGCGGATATCGCTGATCGCAAGCAAATCCTATGTGAAAGTTTGTGAGAATGATGGACAAATCAGATGGACCGATTTGGTTGGAATTTGGTACGTAAATAGGTGATTCCCTGGATTAACACATAGACTGCATTTATCAACATACCACGCGAGCAGAGCCCCGTGCGAAAGCTAGTCTAATATATAAAAGAAGGCTATTGAAAATGGCCGTTAATAAGTCATAAAAAAAATGTCATACCCCTTTTTATAGTTCATTCTCGTTACCATCACCATGAGCTGGTTCTTGAGGTAGATCAGTCATAGGCTCATTGTCAACTGGATGACTTGTGTCAACTGGTTGACTTATGTCAATTGGTTGACTTATGTCAACTGGTTGAATGTTACCGATTGGCTGACTATTGTTATTATCAGTGTTATTAAAATTCAACGCCTCAAGTCGTGCGGATAAGAAGTGTTCTGACATGTGTTGCCGAAGTTCTGTTAGCAGTCTGAAGCTTTGCGGGCATTGCTCGCATCTGTAAAGAAACATGGGATTTGTTTATGTAATATAAATTGGCTGGTGTTAAAAATCAGTGCAATAGCAATTTCGCAATGTGATGAACACAATATCTATACTAATATTATAAAGAGGTAAAGTTTGTAAGTATGTATGTAGGGGGTAATCTTTGGAACCGCTGGTCGGATTGCCAAAATTCTTTCACTGATAGATAGCTACAGTGTTCCTGAGTGCTATAAGCTATTAAACATCACGCTACGCTATCAAATGGAGCCGAGCAGCGGATGAAACCGCGAGACAGTAGCTAGTAATTTATATTTTTCAGATGTTTAGTGCGCATTTTTCGAAACAACCTTGATTAACAGCGCTAGCGGATCGTCCATACGAAGGCATCCCAAGAAATATTATAGGTAGAATAAACCGTGTAAATGTGGGAGAACCATGCTTCGGCACGATTGGATCGGCTTGATAGGAGTAATAATAGGTACGGAATAATAAAAAAAAATTTTTTTGGCTGGTAGTCGTACCGGCATGATACTCTTTCCCTAGCCTTTGAAAGTAATTACAATAAATCAGTATTATAATACCTATCTGAAATATATCGTCATACTTCGTTTATACTAGTACCTACTACTTTAAAACTAGCATTACAACAATAGACATGTATTGTGCTAACGATAAAAAATAATGTTTAAACTTACTTGTACAAATTATTGCCGAGGTGTGAACGCTTGTGTTTGACCAAGTCATTGCTCTGGGTAAACGCACGTTCACATATGTCACATTTGTAGGGCCTCTCTCCCGTGTGTATTCTGTTATGTCTCTTTAAGTGATCTTTGCAAGTAAACCTGTGTTACAGAAACATTATTCTTGTAAAGAAATTAAAGTTATAAGATTTGGCAAACAGCGCCATCTAGCAGTAGTAAAGATAATTATTATCGCCAGAAAATATTCGCTTTTCTAACCTCCATGGTTGTAAGTAGTGTAATTTTAAGGCGCCAGATGGCAGTTCTTCACACTGCTTTAGATTTTATTAAATAAAATCGCCAAAGTGAACAAAATTGACAAAAGGAATTATTTTTTTTTATTAAACAGTTTAATTATTTAAATTAGTTACTTAATTCTTCTCTTTTTCGAGTACAGACAGGACTGATGACGATGAGAACATTAATAAAAATAAAATTGTAGTCTTTCTAGTCCAACAGAATAAACGCAATCTTTTTATACAATGTAGGTACTTGTCTTATGTCGCTTCTTAAATTTTATGGACAAGATTCGCGGGATGATTTATTAAAAATAAAGACCATTACGTGAATTATCTGAGATGAGAAAAATCTACTACTGTAAGTCAAAACAGGACTCTTAATTTCTCCGATATGCAATTGAACATTAAGAATAAATAAATAAATAAACAGGACTCTAATTCCCAATGAATTCAGAAACAATGGAGACATCCATTAACCTTTGACCTATGGGATTGCAGTAAAGCACTAGTTTATATGATTTTATAAAATGTATATCAAATACAATATTCTAAAAATGGTATTAAGAGTCACTACATTGCCAAATTTGTATAAAAATCAATGATTATAAATAATAATTTTATACTTACTTCATAGGACAAGCATCACATTGGTAGCGCTTGATGCCCAAGTGGCGGAGCTTGTGTGTGGTTAAAGAGCTGTTCTTAGTGAATGATGCATTGCACTGGTCACACGAATATGACTTCACACCAGTGTGGGTTACAACGTGAGATTTTAACTCCCCTGAAATGATTAAGTAAGAGGCAAAAAGTCAATTATAACTATTGGTAAGGTAGAGAAATCAAAGTCCAATGAATACAATTTTAATTAAATACTTTATAAAAGAAATAGGTATCAAATAAGGTCATTTGAAAACTACATTAGCCCAGTTATGCCATTATACCCAAGTATAATATAAAACCTACAATATTGCCAAACATAAGTCATTGTTATATATACACTATAACTTCACACTGCTGAGCAAAGGCCTCTTCCTCTTGATCTTGAACTTCAATTGTCAATCATCCTTGATTGGCAATTTCAAATTCATAATAAAAAATTACAAGCAAAGTTTACTCAAAATGTTTTCCTTTACTGTTTATCAGTTGTGACTAAAGAAACCAAGAAAGTACATATCACATGGAAAAGGTTGCTTTGGTACATGCCAGGTCTTTTGAGAAGCTGGCACTTTCACCTCTGGCCCACCACAAAATGACTGCCATAGACTAAGCACTAATTTTGAATACATGTAACTAGCTATTGAGGATTTCTATTATTGAACAGACCAAACAAGGAATTAACATCCCACAGTATTCCATTGGTTGTTAGAAAGTTACAATAGATTTTATTATACCAACAATTCAGTTGAGAGAGGCAAATTTTTATGTAAAATTTTCTTACCTTTACTGACAAACTTCCTAGGACACAAATTACAAGCAAATGATTTCAAACCTTGATGTCTATTCATGTGCTGATTCAAATTAGTACTTGAGTCGAATGTCTTCCCGCAAGTAGGACATAAGTAAGGCTTTTCTTTAGTATGAACCCGTATATGTGTTTTTAAACTTGAGAGATGAGTGAAGGCCTTCGCACATATTGGACAGCAGTGCGGCATTATCCCCTTATGCTTATTCATATGATCGGAGTATGCGGATTCTGTTGCATATGACTTTTGACACGTAGTACATTTAAATGGTTTATTGATACCGTGACTCAGTTCATGTCTTTTTAAATGAGACAGCTTTTTGAACACTATGCCACATATTGTACAGGATAGCACTCTATCTTTTGGTGTGTGTTTTCTTTTATGTGCCGATAGAGAGTTAATGGATCTGAATGTTTCGGAACAAATTTCACAACGGAGTGTCGGTAACTGTTCGGAATTGTGGTTTATTTCAGTATTTGTTTCAGTGTCAGTTGGCATATCTACAGTAGGCCTGTGTGTCATCATATGTTCCATATATTTATAATTGTAAATAAATACTTGAGAACAAACTTCACAAGTGTATGTTATTTCATGTCTCTTCTTATGGCTGTGTAGTTTGTCAAGGGATGTAAACTCTTTGCTGCAAATATTGCATGTTACTACATAGTTTAATTGTTCTTCATTAAGTTGGTTAACATCTGATATTTCTGAGAATAAAGCCGCTATATCAGAGTATGCATTAGTTTCCTCAGTTACTGCCATCTCGGAATCAAAAGTATGATCCACACCCGCATTTAAATTTTCAGTCTGATATTGATTATTATCACCGTCGAGTTCTATCCCAACATCCTCGTCTTCTGATTTTATGCCAGTTTTATCTAAATAGTCTTGAAGTTCAATAGCACAATTTATGGCATTGTGTCTAAATTCATGATAGTTCAGTAAGAAGTCGTAGCAACTGTTGCATACTTTCTTTGGAAGGACGTCTTGTTTCGTGATCTACAAAAAAAAAAAGTTGATAAAAACATTAGACAACAATAAAGACATTGTTCACGTTCCTAAAATTAATTATTTCTTACCATTACTGTGGTACACAAAAATATTATTCTAGGCATGTCTAGCCTGTGTGACCTAGGTTCAAATATATCATTCAAATTATCATCTTGAAATTCTTTCAAACAAGTGCGACAACAAGCATCGTAATTTTTTGTGTCTGTTGTGTTCGTATTTTCTTCAGAAGCCATTACAACAACTTTTTTGCTTTTTAATATTAAAAATTAATACATTACTTCTTAGTGTTTATGAAAACTATAATATTCACACTAAGACAGATTTGATTGAGAAAATAATGGGATTTATTGTTAGCTTTTTAACACAAAATAAACAAAGTTTAATTTCTATGCACAGACAGCACAGTGATAATAGGCATAGACTCAATAAACAATAGACTAAGGCAAAAGTAGTGTTGTGATCGAGACAACTAGAGAGAAATAACGGTTAATTTATACGTTGTAATAACTAATTTTTGTTTGTTATTTATTGACATATTTTGCAATGCAGCATTTTTAGAGTAGATAAGTTTTAATTATGTCTAATAATTACAGTTTTGGCGCATGTCATAGTTTTTCGAACCGTTTGAATAATCTTAATTCTTTGACATCATAGTTTTTTTGACATTATACTGCTTCATATTATGTACCTGTGTAGTTACTATAAGTATGAACTGTTCAAAAATATATTGAGTTATTATTTTGTATTGTTATTGTAACTAATTTATTATCAATAACATAAAATGTATTATAACTACAATGACCATTTTTTGACCATACACATCTTTCAAAGTAAAGGACATCACTCGCAAATCATTCATTTTCATTCAGTTCAGCTGTCACCTTCCCAAGTTCAACTTGTGTAATCATTTTTAAAACTCACGCGTGCATAATTTTAAAAATAAAACACGAAACTATTTTCGTTACGTCTACTATAAATCCACTTTCCCGGTAAGTTGAAAGTTATGTGTCATTCTTTTTAACCTGCAGTTCATATTATTACTATTTAAATTGAAATCAGCTGTGTAATTTAATACCTGCGCATTTTAATTAGTAAGACTAAATTAATAATTATAGTTTTTGATTGTAATTGCTATTTAATTTTGCAGTTGCACAAACAAAAATTTTAAAAAAGTTTTTTTTTAGTATTGCTGAATATCAGCATAGTTGAATTTTTTAGTCCGGTTTTTCGGCTTTACGTCTTTAATTTCGCACTTCTATTAAAAATAAATATTATTTTGGTTTATTGAATTACTTAATATTTTTGATATTATTAACTTTATAAGTAATTCCCTAGTGCATTTTAATTTTACCATGTAGCAGGTAATTTAATAAAATTAAATTCAAAAATAAATATTTACAAACATCGATTATTTACCATCATGGGCCTTTAAAAATTCTTACCCATGTAGGTATCCTTGAAGAATGTAACCTTCACCATTTAAACTCGACCAAATTACAGCTTTACCAAAACGAGATAAAGTATAAATTCGAAGTGCATCGGTTTAACTGTACTTGTATCGTTAAAATTATGAGCAAAGGTTGATTTATGTGTATAAATGTGTAAGTTATAGGTACCTACGTACATATGTGTTCATTTCATTCATTGTAACCAGATCAAGGTTTGTAAGTTTCACATTGACTTTTTCCTTTAGCGTCATTTATTATTATGTTTTAATAGTTTTTTTTGTATACAATCGAATATTTATTTGAAGTTCTTGGTAAATAGCCATAAACAAACAGTTTTTTTTTCTTTATATCACTGGGTAATTGTCAATTTAAACACCTGCTGGTTTTGTTTATGTTATGAAACAAGGTTTCTCCAGTGCGTACGCGCATGCCTATATCTAATTATTATACTATCTATACTTATTTGTATGAAGTATTATAAAGCTGAAGAGTTTGTTTGTTTGTTTGAACGCGAAAATCTCAGGAACTACTGGTTCGAATTGAAAAATTCTTGAATCTAGATCGTTATGAATGATCTGTTGGAGCCGAGCAGCGGGTAAATCCGCGCGAGAGTAGCTAGTGTATAATATGTCGCAGCCCACTGGTTTAATATCGGGTAGCCCTTTGATCGTAATAATTTTGAATCGTTGTTTATTTGTTTGATGATTCGATTTCTGTGCAGTTCATAGTTCTAACCTAACCTTACCTATCATTCTGGTAGTAACTCGATTTTTATGACAATCGCTTCACCCTTCAACTAATAGCCTGAATGAGAAATTTAGCTATTCAATCAAATGACTAACCATTCAGGCTGTTGGTTGGATGGCTTTTTTTGTGACGGGAAAATCACTTCTCCCGCCCAGGGCCGGGGCGGGAGGGAGTGTCCGACTCTTACTGACTAAAAACCCTCCTGTTCCTTCTCCTGCTCTAGGCCGAGGTCGTGGTTGGACGGCTACTTCCACTATTTGGCTACTACGACATAACGGTATAGGTATTAGTGTATTATCCTTTGATATGTATTAATGTCACTAAAACTATTTTCTGTATTACTCCGAAAACCGAACTTAGCCAAAATCTTAAGAGATATTACAATTATTATTGGTTGGGAATACTTATTGACATCATCGAAGGTTAATTAATTGTTTTCTGCATAACAGTAATTGTGGGTTAATAGGAAACTGTTCGGAGTCGCTTACATAGTAATTTATACCAACTAATTATGTAAACATATACTATTCAATCATCGTTGCAGTAACTGTGAACATTTACATATTTTACCTACGTCATATAAACTAAAATGTATAGGCATACCTATACAACTTGGGTTTATAATATACAGAAACTAAGGTATGTAATTTTTTTTTACTAGCCTGTAATGTCCCACTGCTGGGCAAAGGCCTCCCCATCTGTGTCCACCAGTCTCGACGATAGGCGTCTAGATCGTCACACCGTCTTTTCCGGGGCCTACCCCGCCTGCGGCTTCCATCCCGAGGTGTCCACTGAGTAAAGTCAATAAATATAATAAAAAAAATACGTTGATTTTTTAATATGTATAAGTATTCTGCCGTTCTGACTGACTTCGTTCTGACTGCCGTACCCACGGCGAGAGAAGTCGAGACTGTCAGATTCTTACTGATAAAACTCACCCAATTTCTTTTCCTGCTCCAGGGGGTCGTGGTACATTATTCTCTTGAACCACAAGCATTTCTTAACATCCACCCCATTGCGCTGTTTCTATGGTGGTCTGTTGGCATAATATGATCTATACCTACTGAGAATATTGTATCCTGTACTTAACTATTGTTTCTTTTTGAATTTAAATTTTACGATACTTTTATCTCAGCAATATCGATATTGATATCTTGAATAATCTATACCCAACAATCGCACAAGCGCAGTGCATGTTTGAAAACAATGAAAAATTCAATTTCATCGTTATCTTTATACGAACATCTAAACTTTGAACTGAAAATTCTAGTACTGTAGTTGTTTTACATAATTTGTTTACTATGTAGTCAACCTTGGTTCTATAACACGTGCAATCAAGTAACTGCATGCCATAATTTGATCATTCTGACAAAGCGCATGATATCTCCCTTTCGCGTGATCTATTTTTGGCATTATGCCAACTATTCATTAAAAGTCAACTCTGCAAATTCCATGATTATACAATCCATTCTGTTTTGTTTGTCTTTTGAGTAACAGATACAGAAGAACAGACGAGACGAGAATATGTTTGTGTTTTTGAAAAAATCCTTGTTTAAAGCCACGTAGTTAAGAGTGATAGTATATACTCCTATAGGACGATTTCGATGCGTTTTAATGGGTGATCCATACCGTATGAAATGATTTATTTATAAACTCAGAATATTACACATTTGAATGCAAAACATACTTATAATAAAAAAGGGTTTCTTGTGGATTTCTTCCTGTAGTCCTGCGACAGGAAAATCAATAAAATCAGTAAAACAAGACACAATGTACCACTATAAAGCAAAGCGATACAGCATAGGTATCCAAATTTTATTTCCGTCAAAAGTGTTTAACTAACTTCTTCTATACTTTCATCAAGTTGTCACTCGTCAAAGAAACCTAGAGAGCTGTTGAGAAATAACAAAAGACAGACGCTTGCAACTATAAAAGAAAGCTCCAGTGCCAACGTTTACACATGTCTGCACAAAACTATATTCGTGCACTCCCATGTGTCCACTACGTGTACGTTATGCTATTTCTGTTCAACATTCCCTTGGCACTGTCTCCTCGTTATATTCTTTTAATGGTCCTCCACCATTTTCTGAATGGAAATATATTAAATGAGTAGTAGATAGTAACGTGTGTCTCTTGCATTGACATTTAATCTCGACGATCTTTTCCATTGAGCGCCATTTTTTTGTTCAATTAAACCTTATTTGTAGTAAATTTTGTTACTTTTTTTATAAGGAATTAATCTTTTACTTGTTTGTTTGTATAAAAATCTACGTTACAAATTGGTCTGTGTACTTCGCCTGACAATTCAGGCCAATCGCGAACGAAAGGACCCAGTTTTTATTCCCTTAATTTTTTACATCATATACGACGCTGCTGTGCACACAACAATATAGTCTAACTCAAAAGTGACACATAAAGTCTGCAAAAGTTCTACACAAGTCTATAGAAACACTGACAGCTCGATCCAAAGTCCACTAATCCAGACAAGAGTCCCTACTCCCGACGATCACGTTTTCAGTATCCTAATTACGTAATAGATATCACTACCCGTTTATTGCCATTGAACCTAACTGATAAGCCTGTTTAGAGGTCGCTATGACCTGTATCTATAGTTTCACAAAACCCTACAAATCTTTAGTTGCGTGCCGGCAGCCGGATCGTGTGGACGTGTTTTCCTTTTCCCATCTTTGTTTATATTCGGGTGCGAATTTTTGAAGGTGAGCTCTCTTATTTATTTTTTAATTATATTAAATTTTATTTCCTTTCTTATTTTATTTTTGAATATAGAATGAAATGTCGTGTTATTTACTTTATGTGTAGACGACCTTCGCTCATTAGTAACGTTTATCATTCAAAGTTATCTTATACCCGAGAGGCGAGACAGTAATTGCTCGTCTAATTATATGTATCATTGTACAGCTTCAAGTACAAATTATATTTGAGACGAAATTAGAAAATCCATTTATGACTATTGCACAGATTTCAATTAAAGTGTGAAGGTTGCTTTCTGCAATGACCTGATCAATTAGGTACGTAGATTTTTTTTTTAGTTAGCACTAGTCTAAACTTGACCTTTGTGATACGATCGGGGGTTTTTATTTCTTCAGTACATAATACAATAGATTAAAATAAAGATCGTAAATTCTTTAAGATTACTGCGTAAATCGTAAACGTCTTATCGATAAAGCGAGTAATCGAGCTGTAGTAATTTATTACAATAA